GCAAACTTAAAAATTGAAATGAAATAAAAAATAATTTCATTCTGGGACTGAAGTCCTCTTAGAATAATAGTAGAGTTAAAAAATATTTGCATTAGTCTGGAATGTAAGTATCATACAAAAAATAACTAGGAAATTTTAAAAACACACACACATACACACATATATATATATATATATATATATATATATATATATATATATATATATATATATATATATATATATATATACATATACATGATATATAAGGTTGAGACCTAGTATTGAGAGAGTGCATAGAGGAGCATAGAATAAGGATGTAGGGAGGGTTTTTGGTTCTGAAGACTTGGAAAAGGAAAACACCAAGGAGGAATTGTCGTCGGGGAGTAGGATAAAGCCACTTCAACTCGGTGTACCAGAATGAAACATGTGAACGCCTGCGGATCCCGAAGATCTTATGAAACAGTTGATGAGTTTCTTCACTCTCATTTCTAGCCTGGTAGATAGCCCTCCATACACCAAACAGCCGTAGTCGAAGTGGGGGAATACAAGGGAGGTTACAAGGAGCTGTCTGGTTTTTAGAGGAATACAATCACGGAATCTTATGGGTTGTTTTTATCATCCTGTTTTTAGAAAATAAATACAATTAATTGTTGCAAAGCATTTATTTCTTGTTTTTCCACGAGTTGGGATATACTATAATTAATCCCATTGCCTAAACACACATTTTATTTATATAAACAATTAATTTTAAAAATACTAATTTTTCAAATATTACTTTGTATAAATATATATATATATATATATATACACATATGTGTATGTATATATTTTCCATATTAGCATCCCTATCACTTTGAGTACAGCATGTCGGATATTTTAATAAGACGTTGCGGGTACTGTAGCCACCCAGCGCCGTACATTGACAGCTTTAGTCGCATCTAGCACAGTCGGATTGCAACGAATCTGAAGAAATACGTATCCAATTAGCTAATTTATATAATAGCTATTTATTAATTATACCTTATTTCCATTTCTTCTGATTTCGACCAAAGTTCGGGAGCTATCGTATATGATCGGCGCAACCGAAGGGCCAGATGCTCACCTCGTAAACGTGTTCCTCAAGAGGATGCCCCACACCTGTTCTGCGGCTGATATAACAGGAAATGCCTCTGACAGATGCGCACCAACGCCCGGAAGTTATGAGTCCAGTGCTTTAATCACAGAACTAACTCACGCCATTCGCTATATTTGTAATACTATATATATATGTATATATTTTCGATTGCTATTGCAAAAAGAGCAGATATAAAAACAAATTTATTTTAAATAAAAAAAAAAATCATGAATAATTGCAGTCAAAAGTTCTTATTTTCATAAAAGTAAATGTATTTTTCTGTAAAGTTATTTACATACCATTAGCCTAGAAATCATCTGGTTAGCCACTAAATAGTTTTTTTTTTTGTCTATAAAAACGCATTTGCGCCTTATTATTACTTATTGTTGACAATCAGCAAATGTGATGGCGATACATTAAATAATGACATGCCAGGCATGGGGAAGGAAAGTACTCAGCAGTACCTCTTCCCTAACTTGTTCCAATTACTTAGGTTGTCTAAGGGAAGGAGATCCCTCATCCAACGCCTTTTTAGTCTCCTCCTTATGTTCTGAGCTATGTCAGCTGTGGCCATGTCTCTTATAAGTCTGTTTTTATGTCCATTTAAATTTGTATAAAATCGTTGATATAGGTTCGTTATATGTTGGTCAACTGTTGGAAAGTGGAGGTCAGTATGTAGAGTTTTGTTAGTAACGTACCAAAGGACTTTTGTTACGAGTCGCAATCATTTTGATTGGAATGTTTGAAGTTTTTGTAGGTGTCTTTTTAGCGATGCCGTATATTTGTGATATGTCCATATGGGCTTAAGTAAGTATGTATATGTATTCAGTTTCTGTTTTAGTTTTAGTTTTGAAGATTTATAAAAAAGAGAGTAAAGTAGTTTGAGTCGTTTGTTAAGTGTCTTACGTTTCATTTTAACATGCGGACCCCATATCATCCTTTCGTCGGAGGTGAGTCCAAGGTAAAGTACCCTGTTCGTTTGAGGAATTTGATTGTTGTCAATATAAACTGGAGGGCAGGTGTTTTTTCGAAGAGTAAATGTTGTATGTTTGGATTTCTCATGATTCAGTCGAATTTTCCATAGTGTGAACCAATCTTGTAATTTAAGTGAGTGACGTTGTAGTGTTAGTGAGGCCTGTGTAGGGTCTTGATGTTTTGTGAGAATTGTTGTATCGTCTGCTTAAGGAGCTGTCAAGATCTCATCGTTAATAGGTATATCGTAAGTGTATATAACGTAAAGTAGAGGGGCTAGTATATTAAATAATTAAATTTCGTGTTATTACATCATTGGTACCATGAAACTTTCCGCCATCGACTGTCTCGATGAATAAGCTCTTGATATGTCCAAGTCGCCTTCATCACCAAAGCTGTAACTCGTAATATGCTGTTATCTTAACACGACTGGATTATCATTTGTTCTTTCAGGAACTAAGTTTTGTCCCAAATGTTGAATTTATTTTTTACTAATTCATAAAAATATGACATTTCTGATTCGTACTTTAATTATGTTTCTTTCCGATTTGGCCCAATCCAGATACCTATCCTTCCATAACAAACTGCAGAACCATCCGAACCCTCTCGTTTCAAACCTTGCTTCCTCCTCAATCCCTAATAACCCTGCGAGGCGTCTGAAAAGAAGATGGCCTCGTGATCTACTTATGTAAATATATTATTAAAGTTCTACCAATGGGTAGTTTCTCAACAAGCGTTTTCATGTGATAGTATTATTACTGTTTGCACATTTACTAGTTGTATTTTTTTATAATACAGTTTTAAATGTCAATGAATAAAAAAAAAATATTATTTTTCTTGGTCGCTTAAATAAGAGATCATTGATTTTATATATTTCACAAATGGAAAGAAAAATTTTATTTAAATAATTTCTATGGAAAATTATTGAATTGGACTTGGTATAGATCTAAAATACACGACTAGTTTATTTTATATTTTTTTCTTATTTCCAATAATACAATAACCATATTTGAGTTTTGAAATGTGACAGTATTGATGTTTCAAACGCTTTTTTTCTGAAACTGTTATAGATTTTAAGACTTAATCGTAATTGTAAGTGTTTATATTTTGATGTTTACAATGTTTTTTTTCTCTTTAACTATCTTTCCGCAGCTGTATTTACAATCAGCAGATGTGTTGTGATAATGAGGATTGGCATTATAGGCATGAGGTAGGATAGTATCCAGCAGCAGCACCTCTTCCTGGTCATTATTTACTTATTTGATTTAGGTGAGGAGATCTCCCATCCAGCTCCTTTTTAATCTCCTCCTGATGGGCATGTCAGTCGTGACCATGTCGTTTATAAGTCTGTTTGTGTGTCCGTGTAGTTTGAGATGAAAACGAGAGTAGAGAGTACGTATGTGTTGGTCTATAGTTGGTTGTCGTAGGTCGGTATGTAAAGTTTTTTGTTTCCGTACCAGGGAGCTCCTGTTATAAGTCGTAAAATTTTGGATTGAAATGACTGTAGTGTTTGTAGTGCGTCTTTTTTTCCCCCGAACAATTATTATTAAAATTTGACAGTATTGTGATTTTTGTGTTTATATCCTGTCACTAGCTTATTATTAACTTATATACTAAATCTTGATAAAGGGACTGAGTTTTTGTTGTTTGTCATCGACCTGGAGCCGCTGCTGAAGTTAGAATGGGTTGAAAAGTGTTTTTAATCAGTTCATGAATTTGATGGTCGAAAGTTCTAAGAGCACGACTGGTCCAAACAGGGGATATATATATATATATATATATATTTATATATATATATATATATATATTTATATATTTTTTTTTTAGTTTGTATCCAAGTCTTCATTTTAAATTTCTACCATATTGTAAAAATAATATATATAAATCTGCTTCAAATTTTTATTAATTTAGTTAAAACATTTTAAAAAGGTTTCTTTCCATTTTTTAAAAAACAAATATTGTCTGGAAGGTGTGAAATTTATTATTTGTTCATTTTGAAAAAGAAACCAGTACACGTTATTATTAAATATAGGCTCCCAATTTTCACGCAAAATATTTGTTTTTATATCGACTAAATGAAATGATAAATAATTTTATTCTGGGACTGAAGTCCCCTTAGAATAATAGTAGAGTTTACAGAATATGTACCTTAGTTTATATTATACAAATATATACAAAAAATACCAAGGAAATTGTCAGCACACATATATATATATATACACACAAAGATACTAAGAAAAATACAAGTATATACAAAAAAAAGAATATATATTAAAGAATATATATTTAGAAAACATAATAACAATAAACACAGATATATACAATAAAATACTGAGATATAAAAAAATTAATAAATAAAAATAAAATGACTTCAATCAATTTAAATGCTGGTGGCCAACGTAATCATATAACCCAGAAATTTTTACAAGCTTGCGGAAGTTTCAATTTGTAGTAGATGATTGAATAGGAGTTGTTTGAAGGAGTATATGGACGTGGTTTGACGTATAGAGATGTGTAATGAGTGGTTTTATGAGAGGGGCTAAATAAATCTATAGGTTGAGATCTGGTATTGAGAGAGTGGATAGAGGAGCGTAAAGTAAGGAATTCTAAGATGTAGGGAGGGTTTTTGGTTCTGAAGACTTGGAAAAGAAAAAAAAACAAGTAGGAATTGCCGTCGGGAAGTAGGATACATCCACTTCAACTCGGTGTATCAACAAGAAATATGAGAACGCTTGGGAATCCCAAATATGAATCTTATGAAACAATTCATAATTTTCTTCAGTTTAAGATTTCCAAGACTAAATCTTATTTTTCTGATCATACCAGCTTATAATTACACATTTTATGCCTATTTCCATAAAAATATATGTAATATATAGATATTTGAATTTCCCTAGATTGGATAGGACAGCTCATTGTGTGACGGTATCTTGTATGGAATATTTGAATTGCCTGTTGCAGCCCGCCCAGGGAGGACAAAGGCATGTGCTACGAGCAGTCGAGGATGTTCCGTCGCGGAATGGCCATCTCGAAGAAGACATTCCGTTTCGCCTTGCCACTTCCTCTGACCATGATGATGGTTCTCTCTGTCCTCATCGGGATCGTGGTGGATACGGTCATCAACTTCGAGACCGTGGACTGGGCCGAGAAAGTGGGCGACTTCTGCCTCCGCTGCAACGGCCTGGGGCACTGCATCCACGCCTACGTCTGGACCAAGGAGATCGACCGCCTCTCGGACGCCGTTGACGTCTGGTTGAGCTACAGACTGTTGGAGGAGGAGGGACAGAGGCTGAAGAAGGAGTGCCAGGAGTGGATGGATTCCTTTAATTATTATTTTAGTAACTGTAAGTTGTTACAATAATTATTAAATTATAATTTAAAATATGATGGCAAATATATCAATGTTAAGATAGATAAACGGAGAATTATGATTCTTTTCAATGCATTCCTTGATCTTACACATTCCACTGTTACTCCATTATCTTGAGGTTTCAAGAATTTTTGTTTTGCTGATCTTCTGTTTCCATTGTTGCTTGTTTAGCAGCTTGTTAGTTGCTTTTTGGTTGAAGATAATGTTTCCAGAGTTCCTCTTTTGCAATACTTCCCTTTTGAGTCTGCGGAAAATCTCCTTTTTTATAAAATTATCAACACTCGCCCAACACTTCTTGAATGGCTTCATCTCTTTCTTCAAACTACTACTTTTTTATCTACGAAAATTAGTAAATAGCTTCATCTCATCGTAACCTACAAATGTTTTTTTTACAATAAATATCGGAATGGAGGCGTTTTCAATCTAGAGATCGGCAAATCTTGTCTATTTTATTAGGTACTAAAAACTCGTAAAAATCCATTTGCTTTTCACTTTATTCTTATGATAACTAGAGCACGAAGTCGAGAAAAAAGGTGGCCTTCAAAAATAGGCCGTTTGGTCTATATGACCTTGTTATTTTGACAACTTGGGAGTGAAGGTCACGCAATACGGCTCAATATTTTTGAAGGCTACCTTTTTTCTCGAAGCAAGTGAGTATTTACGAGTTTTTAGTACCTAATTAAATAGACAAAGTTTGCCGATCTCTAGATTGAAAACGCCCCAGTGCCGAGAATTTCCGTTAATAAAAAAGTCGGAGGTTACGATGAAGTCTTTAACCCTTAAATATTTATAAACATTAACTGCACTCACAATCTACCTAGGAGCTTTACTAGCATATGCAATTGCGTTCATTAAGAATAGTGTTATTTTCGTAAGCGAATTTTTGTTTTTATTGATTTTTTAAAATTAAATTGTATTCGCATTACATTTACACAAATTTAAATGGACCTAATAACAGATTTATAAGAGACATGGCCACAGCTGACATACCTCAGAACATGAGGAGGAGACTAAAAAGGCGTTGGATGAGGGATCTCCTTCCTTAGACAACCTAAGTAATTGGAACAAGTTAGACAAGAGGTACTGCTGAGTACTTTCCTTCCCCATGCCTGTCATGTCATTATATCATGTATCGCCATCACATTTGTTGATTGTCAACAATAAGTTGACAGGCGCAAATACATATTTTGTAGACAAAAAAAAAATTGTATTCAGATAAATAAAAATAATTGATTATTTATTAATTATCAATTATAATGATTAATGTATTTTTAATTTAGATAAAAATCACATGAGTTAATCTTTCTCAGTCATGAACTTTGGACAAGTCGGCCTTATCCTTCTTCCTTTCACCAAGCTCTTGGGAGACGCGGTTGTCTCCGACCTCTACATCTTCAAGATGTGGTCACCATTGCCGACAGAGGAATGGTGGGCCACGTTGCTCGTGTACTGCTACCAGATCTGCACTAACATGATCAACTTCGTCATCTACGAGGGACTGACGTCGTACGTGGCCAGCGTCTCCGTCAACATCGGACACCAGGTGCGGCTGATGGGGCTGTCTTGCGGCACGGTGCAGCAGAGGGCGGCGCGGCTGGCAGACATGCGGCAGCGCAGAATCACCGACCCTGCCAGGTGGCATGCCATCTACTGTGCAGAGCTCAACAGAGAGCTCGCGTTCAGTGCTCGTCATTTCCAGCAACTCTACAGGTCAGAAGTGGATCCAAGATTTAATTTTGGCTTGTATTTTAAGAAATTATTTTATTTATTTTTTTAATAATGGAAATGACTCTGGATGAAAAAAAATAAACTCAACAAAATAACATATAAAGGAAGGAGATGGTCCGGCGTGGCGGTCATAAATAGGCTAAATAGTGGTAAAACTATTTTATTAAAAGCCAACGTTTCGACCTGACTTTGCAGGTCTACTTCAGGGCTAGAATGGACAAGATACAAAAAGATAGAGTATTGTGGAAGTTACATAATATTTTTTTTTATAATAATTAATACAGTCTGCCACACTAAAGGGCATTGGTACTAGGGCTATAGTATTCATTCACACAATATGTACATAAGGAAGGAAAAAAAAATTATATCTACATAATATTCAGATAAAAAATTATAAACCATGTGAATAAGCTTATTAAAATTATAAACATTAAAATATATATAATTATATATTTATATAAATATATAATTTTAACAAGCTTATTCACATTATTTATAATTTTTTGTCTAAATATTATGTAACTTCCACAATTCTGTATCTTTTTGTATCTTGTCCGTTCTAGCCCTGAAGAAGACCTGCAAAGTCGGGTCAAAACGTTGGCTTTTAATAAAATAGTTTTACCACTAGCCTATTTATGACCGCCGCCCCTGACCATCTCCTTCCTTTATAATGCAACGGTCAACTATCAAATATTCAAAATAATATATAATTGGTCTTTAAAGGGCTGTATAAAAAAAATCTGTTTACAGGCACATTGACTGGCTGAAACACATGCATTATAATTTTAAAAGAGCCCATATTTTGATTGTTTAAGTGTTTAGCTCATTTGATATGCAGATGATACAGCTGTCCATGGAAGTAATCAATTGGACAATGAGAAACTCGATCGGCCTACAAGTAAATGAAGACAAAACAAATATATAGAATAATAAGCCAAAAATTCCACCCCAATTACAGGATCTGCGTAGAAGGAAATCATTCCTGAGAGTTCTTTGATACCTTCAAAACCCGAAAGAATTCAAATACCTCGCCACCACAATAACCTCAATGAATGACTAACGGTCAGAAATAGACCAGCTTATAACTAGCGTAAACAGAGCTTTCTTCTCCCTTTCAATGCTATTGAAATCCCGAAAAATCTCAAGGGTGTTCAATGCTATAATAAAGCCAGTTCTAATATATGTCTGTGAGAACTGGACACTAACCAGTACTCTAGAAAAAAGTGTTGAAAGATTTGAGAGGAAAATCCTTCGCAAGATAACTGGAGCGATCTGGGATCAGAGTACTAACACATGGAGAAGAAAGAACAATAAAGAACCGCTTAAATAAACTGGTCAATCAATATCTCATGATATGAAGGCTCATGATAAGATGGTCGGGGTATGTAGCTCGTAGTAATCTACTGGTAGTCTCTATGCAACAATGAATGCCTCAATAGAAGGCAAAAGACCACGTAGAGACCCAAAAAGCAGATGGATAGATAGAATCAACAAAGATGCAACAGAGCTGCGTGCAGATAACTGGAAAGAAATAGCCCAAGACAGGCAGAGATGGAGCAGGCTTGTTAAGGCAGCAAAAGATCTACCTGGTCTATAATGCCAACAGAAAAATAAAATAGAATAATGTAGATCACTCACATAAACAAATAGGGAATAATGAAAAAAGTAATAATTTTGTTAATGTATTATTATAAATAATTTAATTATTAATTTATGCCAACTCCTTTCTACGATTCTTCTGTCTAATTTATTATTAATTTTTAAAATAAAGCTTTATATTAATTATTATTACGGTCCAATCTCAGACATCTGAATTTATTTTTCATATTATCATTAGATCTTGAGGGATTGGAAAAACTAGATACAATAAACGACTAAAATTGAATCAATACGTTAAACTTAATTTAGGGCCGGAACAAGAGTTTTTCAATGAGGGGCAAGCTAATCTTTGTCCCCTCCTCTACTGTTATCAGAAGTCAACATTTTTCGCTAATGTTTCAAGCAAAACATTCTTACTCTTTAATATCCACAATTCTCTTTACTTTGTCACCAATAAAACCATCCATAACAACCTTAATGTCCCTTATGTTTCTCGTTTGACCTAACCAGATATATCTATAACTTCATAACCATCCGAACCCTCTCGTATCTAATCTTGTTTCCTCCTGGATTCCTGATAATCCTCCGAGGCATCTTAAAAGTGATCTCCTAATGGAATCTAGCGCAGAGGTACCCAGAAGGGGGGAAGCGCATTTTGACTTGTTTTTGAATTTTTGAGAGGAACACATTTCGACTGAGTTATGAATTTTAGAAAGGAAAAGTTTCAAAGCAGGGGACAAGATAAAACAATAGAACAGACCACTGAAAGTGTAATATATGATCTATGATTTTTAAAATTCTACTTTAGCTTCCACTGTTGTTAAGAAGAGGAGAGCAATCATTTATTTTATGAGGAGGAGGAAAGATTCATACTATCATATTTAGCCATTTTTTATAGTTACTGACAATGAAAGAGAGTTAATTTTTTTTAATTAACCATATTAAATGTACTTTAGAGAGAGACGTATATGGACATTGGGCATTTAAGCCCTGTAAAGTGATATCAATGGGGATAAGATCTAGATGATATTAAAGACCACTTAATTATACAATGATATACTGAGTTTAATTAAAATCGTTAAGAGTCGTTTTTGAGATAATTCTGAAAATGTATTTTCAGAAAACCTCAAAACATGCATTTCCATTGAAAACTCAGATTTGAAAATTTTCACGATCGTAATACCTACTCTTAGTATATATTTCATATATAGGTAAGTGAAAGTAAAAATATGTTTCTTTCTTTTTGTTAACTTTGTTAAGTTGCTTATACACCAAAAGTGATTCTGACCCACTTACGACTTATATGAATTTGCTTCATATAGAAATAATGCCAATCCCTATTCCACAGTTTTACTGTCGAAGTTCAGATTATTGGAGTGTTCGGATTACATAAGTTCAGATTACTGAGGTTGCACTGTATTATAAAACATATCAATTATCTAAGAAAAATAATGTTTTAGGAACGCAGAAGAGATGTGCCGGATCTTCTCAGGATTGGTTGATTTAGTCTTCTATTCTGGAATGAGTATGGTTATCATGTTCGGTTTGAAAATCGTCACCGTAAGTAGTACATGTTTATCGTATTATGTATGTGCATATATCTTATATACCGTGTGTTTCAGGGTTAAGTGGCCAAACTGCATAAATGAACTAAGGACCTCAAAACAAGAAAACAATTTCCTCTGAAGGTATATCCACAAACGCTTTGTTTAGGAGATATTCACTCCTAAAGATTTTCGTTGTTATGAATTATTTACGTTATATGAAATAAATAGAACCTATTTATTTGTTCTAACTACTTTATTAATTAAACATAAACATTAAATTCATATTAAATGTTGTTCAAACTGATTTCCTTGAGCATTAAGACAGACTCGGCATCTTTCTTCAACAGCAGCAGTGGCAGAACAGCACTGGATGTGTGTTATTGTTTCACAAGATTCCATTATCCTTCTTCGTAAAGTATTCAGGTCATTGACCGGACTTGCATAGACTTTTTGTTTAATGTCACCCCAAACAAAACAATCCAGGTGTCAGGTGCAGGCCAAGCCGCTGTTCCTGCATGGCCAATCCATTGATTGGGATATATGATTTGATTGAGCAAGCCATATATACTTTATGTGCCTTCAGAGGAAGTTTTTTTTCTTGTTGTGAGGTCCTTAGTTAATTTTTGTGGTTTGGCCACATAGCTCAGAAACACCTTTTATAATTAGAAATATTTTATTTACGAAAATTCCTGGAATTGGAGCGTTTTCAATCTGGAGGTCAGCAAACTTTGTCTATTTAATTACGTACTAAAAACTCGTGAATACCCATTTGATTTTCACTTGGGTCGTAAGATAATTTGATCCCAAAATTGATCAAAAAAGGTGACATACAAAAATATTGGGCTGTTTGGCCAATATAGCCTCGTTATTTTGACAATTTGGGGGTGTAGGTCACGCCAAACGGCTGAATATTTTTGAAGGCATTTTTTTTTTCCCTAATTTGTGCTCAAGTTATCTTACGATTGAAGTGGAAAGCAAATGGGTATTTATGAGTTTTTAGTACTAATGAAATAGACAAAATTTACGGATCTTCTGATTGAAAACAAATTCTGAGAATTTTCGTAAATAAACCTTTGTAGGTTACGATGAGATGAAGCTATTTACGAAGTTACTGCTGGATGTTAATAATTTGATAAAAAGGGGTCTGTACCACGGACTAATTACAAACTTTGATGAAACTATTGTTTCTAATTACTTACTTTGAAAATGATTATATAATATTTATCATTTTTTTATTTATTTTTTAGTTATGCTATAAACTCATTCATAATAATAGACAAAATATTGAGTATGTTTTTTCTCTTTGCTTAGAATAACATAAATTTTTTTTACAAGCTCATTATTTCTAGTGAATTTATTTAATATTTTCTTAGCATAAAAAATCCTTGGTTCTTTTAATATATTATTCGTTATAATTTTTAATATTTTATATTTTTTCAGGAAAAAGAAAACAAAATTATTTTCATAATGTCAACACTGTTCGTTAGTTTAGTGATCGCCAACCAATATTTATATACTATCATCAATGATAGTATATCAGATGAGGTATGGTTATCGCAAATTAATTTTATTTATATACACTTATTCTACATTTCTGATATTCTGATAACTAGTTTATAATAATGTAGAGGTTGCGATAGGGTTGGGCGTTCTTCTTAAAGAACCGTTCTTTTTGGAATAGTTTTTCTATCTGTTCTACTAGTTCAAAGAAACTACTTTTTTTATTTTTTTATTTATTTAGACATATAATATTCTGTCATGGGGACAATAATTATATTGATAAATGAACACATATACCGTATATACGAAAAAAAAAAATTAACAAAAGAAAAATAATAACTAAATAATAATAAATAAAAACTATGTTCAATAAAAAATATAAAATAACCTAAATATAAGTAAATTAAAAACATAAAAATACAGTCAAACCTATACAGGGAACCCAAATCCCTGCACCTCACTGGTGCTAAAGCCAGTGGAGTTTGAGCGAGAGCGCTTTAGCCACATACACTCATGTGGCTAAATGTGGAGAATCTGGCCATTGTCAGAACTCAAAAATATATACTATAAAAGATCTCTGGGCCACTGCCGCTTCAACCTTCGAGGAGGATTGTAGCGATGAGTGGAACTAGATAGGGATTGGGCTAGGGGATTTGGATGATTGATAAGGTTCTGATGGAATTTTGAAAAATTTTCAGGGATAAGGTCAAGGACAAATGGGATATTAAGGTCATGGTGTAGGGTTTTGTTGGTTACATAGAACAGAGCATCGATTATTGTTCGGAGGACTTTGGATTGAAAGGGTTGGATGCGTTTGATGTTAGAGAATTTTGCTGTCCCCCAAAGTTCAAGTCCGTAGGTCCAAATAGGTTTCAGGATTGTCTTGTAGATCTGTAATTTGTTGTCAATTGAAAGTTGTCAAGTGTATATAAAAAAACAAAATTTCTAACGCGGACCACCAAGATAAAACCTTTTACAGCCAAAAAAGTCGGATTTGTTTTGTTTTTTCATCTATAACTCCTAAGCGATGCATTAAAGCGAAATATGTATACTTTTATAAATTAAATAACGTTAAATTGTGGGTTGAAGGAGAAACTAGACTTAATAATTTGGTTAAGTGGTGTGGTAGAACACCACGGTCAACCAATGCTGATTTTTACCAAATTGTTCAAAAACTGAGACAAATTACTATAAATGGCCCTGCAGCTTGGAAATAAGTTCCATAAGAGGAAAAACCCATAGAATCAAAGTTGTAGAGCATCAAATTTTAGGACCAGTGTTGATTGATAATTGATCTAATATTTGAACCGTTGAAGATAAACTAGCAAAATACAATAGATTCTTGAAGAAAATGGATTTGTTAAATACTTTATCCCCATGACTTAATCGCAGAATGTAACAATCAAGAGTTAGCTAGTTAAATACAGTAAAAAACATGAGGTCAATTTTTTTTCTCCAAATTAGTGATAATTAAGGACGTATTTTTCGGAAACGTAATTTTGTATAGAACGTCTTTGTCGATGCGATTGATATTTTTCCTGATATACGCTAAAAACCGAAAAAAGTGACCTTCTAGGCACCCCCTCCCCCAAATCTGGCTCAGCACCTAGGAGTAGGGACTTTTAGTATGTTTACCTCCTTACTAGTCTAAAAAATGCCCCAAAGTCAAAAATAGTGTCCCCGCCATTTCCTTCTATAATCATTCAATGACTAGAGTAATTGCTTGTTAAATTCACGACCATTTATTTTTCTTTTTATTTTTTTTCTTTATAGATCATAGCTTTGCAGTTCACGATCTACGATAGTCCTTGGCACCAGCTACCATTAAGATGTCAGAAGAGCATCCACATCATGCAAACAATGGTGAGGAAAATGCCTACTCTCACCAACATCATGGGCCTCCACGTAGATCGCGAAATGTTCCTCAAGGTAATAATAATAATAATATCATTTGAAAAACAAGATTAATATATTATTTAAGATAATAACTTTCAATTTATATTTTAGGTGATAAATGCTACGTACTGCTACATTAGTACTTTATTATCTATGGATATATGAATGATAGATGGGTTTTATCAAATCACTGATGAATAGTCGCAGTTAAATTTATCAATTTATAGTTTTAGGAAATATATGCTATGTTATAGATTACACTTATGATAGTCTAAATTTATTGACCTCTAAATCTCATGCTATTTATTATAGTTTATTTTTACAACACATCAAATATCACAATGCAGAACTAGTTAAAACCTTTTAATTATATTCAAATCTTTACAAAACAAAATAATTTATAATTAATTTTGACTACATTGCTAAAAATAAGAACTGACTTCAGAATTTGCCTATTTCAGAACTATTTTTGACCAGGAGGAATGTAGTCAAAATAATTATATTTCTATATCAAATAAGATTTTTGGCAGGAACCTGAGGACCTATGGGGTATATATATATTGTAACATCCCTCTTATATTTGACAAATAATAATAATAATATAACCTCGTGGCAGACCACTTTATACCATTGGGATACTTCCTAAATAAATAATAGGTTATTAAATAATTAACAAAATTATAAGAGCATTAAAATATTTATTTATCTCAGGTGTGGGTTACTGATAATCTGATCAAAACACTCAGACAAACTAAAATTAACTATACTAAACACTGTTTAATTTTAATATAAAGTCAAATATGGATTGGCAAGCTAACCTTTTTCTATATTATATGTTTCTTCCTTTGTGACACTGAACTCATTTTTCTTCAAACACTTTCCAAAGTTCTGCTAAACACAACTTTCAAATTGGTGATATTTAAATACTCTCTCTTGTGATTCCAAACAACTAGTCTCTTTGCCAATAACAACTTCCAAGGTGGTAATACTAATACTGGGTTTTACCCATTACAGCCACGATCACTTCTCCCATCTTCTCTTCACTCCAGCCAAACACCAACTGCTTGCCAAAACAAAAACCTTTTTCCCTCTCCTCTTTGGGATTTTCCATGTTGGGAAACTACAGAGCAGCCATTTTCTTTTCCCTGCACTAGTAGAACTACATTAGATTGCCTTTTAATTGTCCAATATTAATTTACTAAACCCTTTTTACTCACTTTCAATAAAGGTGTACATTACAATATAAATAAAACCTCATTGCGTTGGGGACTTGGGTAGCCACATGGGCTTAGGCGCTTGCAATAGGTAATCAAAGTTAAGCATCAACGTTGAGTGTGGTTAGTACTTGGATGGGTGAGCTCCCACCAGGGAAAGCCATGCTGCCCGAGACTATCCCCTCCTCCCCCCGGGTATGTGAGGCCGGTCAGGCTACTGGAGACAGCTCACACCGACTGGGCGTAGGACTGATGACCCTACCCCATGTACTTAAATCGCGAATCGGGATGTGGTTTACCACGATGTTGCGAGAATGATAAATAATACATATTGCCAAGTAAATAGTGGATTGAGATGATCGGAAGGCTTAAAAATTTTCTTGTTGTTGTTCCCAGGGATGCCTAGACAGGGTTTTCATGGAGCAATTTATGCCATAAACATTTTTGAGTTGATTGTACCAATTTTGGCAGGATTTTGAATTTTTGAGTGGGAACATTTCGAAGAGTTTTTGAATTTTCTAAATGACAAGTATCAAACCAAAAGACAAGAGAAAAAGCATAAAGTAGGCTGCAGCATATGTAATGGTATATGTATGGTATATTCTCCATAGAAACGAAAATTAAATGGAATCAAACCTAACATGAAATCACTACGAACATGAATGGACAGAAAATCGGGGCATTATTGTGAAATATCTGACGTGGAAGGTTAAGAAAAATGAATGATATAAAAGACCTTTGTATTTATGATGAATTTATTTACAATTACATGTAAACTTATATATTTTTTACTCTATTGACTACTAATAAATTCTAGTATTTCCTAGGTACACTAAATGCTTGAGAATCATATTACAATTGCATTTATTATTTATCAATACTTATTTAACACAGTGAAGAAATTACATCTGAACGAACGTCTAAAGCATATCACTATCTGATCAGGTACTTTCTATTCATTGAAACTAACGCACTCATGTAACAATAAGTGGCGTTTATCGTCTGAAATACAGAAAGATCAGTTTTATTTTGTGTTCAAATTTTCTAAAAAAAATAATAAAACAATTAAAATACGTAAGAGATACAGTTCATTAAAAATAAATAATATAAATCAGTAACAGAATAAGCAAGAGACCAAACATAAATGTTAGGCTGTAATTGGAAAAATTATAAACCACGCAGCCTTATATCTCCAAAATTCAAAGAAAAAAACACGTCAACGTTTCTCCAATTCAGACATGTTCAGGACAGATGTGGACAGAAGGAAGGTAAGGTTGGTAACACAACAAGGTTTTTACAGGTAAAACTTGTTCAGGCATGTTTTGCACTTTTTTTGTGAAGAGTGAATTAGATTGAGCCATTAGATATCCGATGTGTAACGCTCAGGTAAAGTCGACTAATTGAAGTGTTTTTCCATATGGATTAAAATCTCTCAAAAACTAAAATATCAGATCTCCATGCTGTAAACCAGGGAATTGTTTAGCGTTTCATCCTCTCTGTAATGGGCTATTATTAAATTTTGTATCTTAATGTGACGCTGTGTTAGGGAGGCAAAATGGAAAAAATAGTGTCGATAATCAAATGATTTTATTGAAGATATGGATTAAAATATCTCAGAAACTAAAAATTGGATCGGTATACTGAAAGCGAGGGGATTTTTCAACATTTCATCCTCTTAATAATGATCTATTATTTATAATTTATATTTTATATTATTAATCTCGCCTTGTTGATGTTTTCACTTCTATCGTGTGGTCTAAATCATACACCCTAGTTGTTTTGTTTTTTTAATTTTTTTCCCGTGTCATTAATACATTTATGATTTTTAGTTGGATATTGCATAATTTTTGTCAGTTGTTTTTTTCACTGATCAGCTGTTTGATTAGAACTAGAAACCTGATTTCCATGGTATTGCACTTTTTATTCGCTTGCGTGTAAATACTCCGGACCTGAACATCTACCCGTTTCAGCACCTATAGAATAACATATTTAAATTTTATATTGCACGTTTTGCCGTTTTTGGCTTGTATTGATTTTTGTTGCATTATTTTGCATTTTTGTACTAAATTAGACAATTTATAAATACAAAAGTATAAGTGAGTATTTTAATATTTATTTTACTATATTGTTCAAATTAAATTCATTATTCAAAATAGTAAAATATGAGGCAAATAATTCTGTGTGAAGCAAAAATCGTATTAATTCCAAAAGGAAGAAGTAAACACAAGTAAGATCTATTCTTGGAATAGAACTTGCCTATTGTATTGGATAATAAAAAGCTGCTTTCCTAGAATTAACTGCTTTATTAGGAAGACATTTATAGTTATTGTTTTGACTTGAATTCTCACTCACCCTTCAACCCTTCAGTATCACTTCTGGTTTTGAATTGATTTGTAGAAATTTCATTCCTATAAAAAATATAATGCTGAAAGTAAAATCTGGTCTCCCATCAAAAATTAAAATCTGGATATAAAAATACCACGATTTGAAATGTGAGAACAAAGAATTTGATGAGAATGTTCTGTACACCTTATGAATCAATCAGGTGATAGGAAATCATTGATAGACGCTCATTGGGGAAAAGCAAGAAAACAATATTCTTATCAAAGAATTGAATGTTTTTTGTTTTGTTTTTTAGAAAGAACATAATCCCCAAAAATATATATTTTTTTGGAGGGGTTATAGAAAAACAGATTTAACACTAATTTTTGAACACTTGAAAATCTCAAACATTAGTCTATTTCAAAATTCTTTAAATTTTAACATAATATTGGAAACTTCAACTCTAGTAAAAAATAAAGTTTTCATTATTATTTTTAATAAAACTTATATATCTAAAATTGGTCTGGTCTATGTAATATATATATAGGCATCTATAATTCCTGCCTTCATTTATTCTTTCAAACCTCGATGCTCTGCGTTATTTGATAATAATTGTTATTATAATAGTTGATTGTAATCTGGAATTTCATTTTCAATGTTACATTCCAATGTTTTTTGTTTTTTTTTATCTCTTCATTAACTCAAGATCTGATAAGATTTCGATGTATTAATGTTATAAATTAAACAATATTGATTATTTTACACATTTTTAGATGTTAATTACACAATTTTACGTATTTTGGATTTATACTGCACGATTTGCACATTTTGAGTTTTTTAATGAACGAAAATCCTGTCTTTAATTATAACCTTTCTTTGCTGTGTTACCTTAATTTCCTTCCAGTATGCTATAGGAACTCATGGAGTGTAGTTGGATTTGCTGTTCTATTCTAGTCTGATGAAGCCTCAATTGGTGAAACATTGATTTTCATTCTCAAATTATTATAGTTTGTATCTATTTAAAAAACATTCTTGATTAATTAATTTTATTTACCTTGGCAAAAAATTCTCTACTTGCTTCGATCCCCATGAAGGTTGAGAGGGTCGGTATGTAACTTACCATGATCTGAAAGAGATTGATATTTTTCTGGCAAGATACAGGCAATCTATACCAGGGGCAGTTGTAAATTGAATTTTGAAGACTGATCACCTTGAAATAAAAAAACAAAATAATAAAAAATCATATATATATATATATTTGTAGGCCACATTTTTTATCGATTTTGTGATCAAATTATCTTTCGACCTTATCTTTCTTATATTATTAAAAAGAAATGCATGTGTTATAACTTTTCACAAATTTTGAAATATGTATCAGGTTTTAAATAATATAGCAGCTGGAAAAACCTCAGCTTTCTTACCTGATTAGTGAAGGTACCATTGATTATAGTGAATAAATATTGATTCACAATTACAACCACCATGAACAGAAAAGAATTCATAATTATGAACTTATTTGCTTGTTGCTGAAAAAGAAAACAAGAATAAAGTTTTATAGAATTTAAAACCTTTTACAATAATACAAAATTAGTAATTAGGAAATCAATAATTGGACATATTACATATATTATATGAATTATATTTTATACTCACACTGGTGGCTATCCTAACTCCAAACATTATAACAATGCACATTCCGGAATAGAAAACTACATCTGCCATCCTTGAGAGGAGTCTACACATCTCCTTCCAATTTCTGGGTATTTCGAAACAAATTTTATTTTTTTATTATTAGTTATCAAAATACAGGAAATTAATAAAATTCAAATAACTGAAGTCCTAAAACTTAATCCTAGTATTATAAAAGGAATATAGGATTCGCACTTGATTTACTGAACTGCACACATTTTATTCTTCATCGTTGATCAAGGCAAGTTATTGAAATCAGCGCGTTTCTTTATTTAAAGATGGAATTACCTGTAGTTCAACGGCTCCATTGGCTTTTGGTATCAATTGATCAGCTGAATGTAAACTCATTATAAACTTGAGTTTTAAAAGTTATTTCTCCGTATCTCGGGCAGCATGACTTTTCCTGATAGATGATCACCCACCCGTTAATTGTTTTCACTGCTGTTCACAAAATGACTGGCATCTCTTGTCTGTTATATACAAATGGTGAATTTTTTGTCATTTGGCTGTTGGTAGTTGTTAGTGTTACCCAAATGCGAAACCAAGGCAAGTCTTGGTCTTGTGCACTCAGTCTTGATCAAGTGCAAGTGTCTCGCAACAGTTTTGCAGTTACCTATTTGCCTATTACTATAGAGATATTACTGTAATTTTTCAGAGAGAGAAAACCTAACTAAGTCCAAATTAAAAATTGTAAGAGTTAAATACAAAAGTAAATTGGTTATACCAATTCTTTATATATTAGTTACTAAAATTGTTAAGTATTATTAAATATTTTTTATCACAAAAACAATTTTTTTTTTTTAGCGGTCTAGGTCTTTGCAAATGTCAGGTGTTCTTGGTTTTTGGCAATTTACAAGACCAAGACCGATTTTGGGTAACATTAGTGATTGTTTGCGAAATGACGAATTTACATCATGATGACGAATATGTGTTTACTTTGATAATAAGCACTATTCCAACCCTCCATATATATATATTTCATTTCAGTCCTTTACATGCCAATTGGCAGATAACATTCTCATTTCGGTTCTTATTTTTTTATTTAAAGTATCTCATAATCATACAGTTTGGAACATGTCATTATTTTGTCTTTGATATTTGGAAAAAGGGATAAATTAAATTTAAATTTGTATGAATAAAAATTAAATAATACCTGTACACATGCTGGTAGTGTCTGGCGCTCTCGGCGATCTCTTTAATAAATATCTTACAGAAGAGACTTTTGCGATCAAGGATGCCTTGCTCTCTTTTAACCAAAGCGATAACCCTATCTCTGAGAGTCAAGCAGGATATTTCGACCAGCTTGGTCTGATATCGACAGGCATTGGATACACTCATCATGTATGCCGTCAGTGCTCCGTATCCGAAGTACTGGTAGAAGAAGCATGACACCTGGAAGGAGTAGAGCAGGAGGATGGTCAGCAGATCCTGCTGAAGGAAAGGGACCCAGAGCTTGAAGATGTAAAGTTCGGAGTAGTTCCTGCTGTCGCTGATAGCGAACTTCACTACTGGCAGCAGGGAGTAACCAATCCCTGTCAGTGTCATTACTGCGAAAGTTCAATTAAATGAAGAATTATTTTTTCTGAGCTCTGTAATAATAACCACATTTTTTTATTTATCACATTATGTTTTAATTATTTTTGTTTATAATAAAAAATAAAGAGCGATCTGTTGATGCTGGCTAATTTCAAATATATCAGAGTATTATATTCATACAGATTCACCTCTCAAAAAAATACTTGATCAAAATTTCAGTCAACAATAAAATTTTAAAAATCAACCCAAAACTTATGTGCAAAATGTGCAACACAATGGAAAAAAACTTTATTATTTATTATTGAAATGCCCAATATATAACAGTTCGAGAGTAAGAATTTACCAGGGTATAGGAAATCTTAATGGAATCGAAATATTTAAGCCAACCACTGTAGAAGATATGAAAAAATTATATTTTTTCATTTCTATTATATTTAAATATAAAGAATTGTTGGAATAATCTCAAATATTGTCCGTTAATAATAGGTATTATTTTAACTCTCTGAATTTTTAATAAATATGATTTCTAAATTATCCTTAAGATTTTTTTAATTATCAAAAACATGTTGTAATTCAATGATGGTAGTAATGTTTATAATATAGAGATAGATTCTATTTGTATAGGGTTCTTTCCTAAAAACAAATAAAGATTAAATAAATAAAATGAAGAGAGAATTAGTTGCAACCATTTGACCAAAGCAAATGTGTTAAAAGACCAGTGTATAGAAACAAACAAGCGAAGGCAAAGCTTTGTATATCTGGTGATGGATGGTACCCAATGAGTCCATGAGTCATGACTCACTGAGTCAATGGGTACCAAAATAAAGAATGAACTATTTTTTATTTAATATTTAATCCTTGCTACAATTTTTTTTAGTGAGCTTTGAGGCGTAAAACCTTAGGGTCATCAACACTCATTGGTCATTTATTTTTGCTCTCTAGAATTCAGAAACTCCATAGAAAAAATAAATAAATAAAAGATAAAAAATTAAAAATAATAAATGAATAAAAAACATAATATAAAAAAAATTATATGCTTTTATTATATATTTTTTTAGATTATTTGTTTCTTAAAAAAAAAAGTAATAAAAATAAACATAACTAGTAATAAATAATAAACATAACATAAAAAAAAGTAATAAAAATAAACATAACATAACAAGGAACTTGAGTCACAGACTTAGGCATATCTATTTACAATCGACCATGGGAACTCTGAACCAGACTTCTTCCCCCACTTGCGGAGGGAAAATCGAGGCTTCAGGAGAGCCCTGTGCTTCTCCCTCAACCACTTCACTGGTATTAAAAGCCAGCGGAGGCTGAGTAAGGGCGCTACAACCACAGACACTCATGACTTGAGTGGAGAATCTGGCCATCACCAGAATTCCAATACATACATGTTACAAAAGGTCACGGGGCAACTGCCATTTTAACTTGCGAGGAGGATTGAAGGGATGGGTGGTGCTAGATAGGGACTGTGCTATGGGATTAGAGTAATGAGTAAGGTTCTGATGAAATTTGGAAAATTTGTCTGGGATAAGATCAAGAATAAATGGAATATTAAGATCATTATATATATACATTTATATATTTTATTAAATAACCTATGGATTCTAAGAAAGTTTAGAACTGCTTTTATGTTTGATTCATCATTATTTAATATCACTGAAATATCCGGTATAGGAAATAATCTATTTAAGATAATGGTGTAATAGAGACATTCCTGAAAAATGTGATGGACAGTGAGAGGAAATTGCAGTATATGTTGGAGCTTGTTGTTTATTGTTAACGTATAAATGAGTTAAATTTGTATTTGTATTTAGTATACATTGCATATTTTATGTTTTATTAGTGTATATTTCGCCACATGTTTGCCAATTTTTATTGTATGTGATTAGTTTGTATTGTATTAGTTTTTATTTTGTGTTTTTTTTACTCCATAAAAATCTGACTTCTTATTATAAGCTATTAAAAAAGAAAAATAATACTTACGCCAAAAGAAGTAATTATTGAACATTTCCATCCACTGGATTGATTTATTTTTCAAATCTTCTCGTGCTTTTTTCAAAAGAGTGTGGGTCCACCAGAAATCAGCTGATACTGACAATTTATCCATATCGTCCATCAGTAAGTAAGCTGTCAGGCAGAATATAAGGGTATTGATGGCGAAACAAAATTCTCCTATCTTGTCCACCCAGTCGATATTCGGTCGGGTGACTGCATCCATGATCACCGAGAAGAAAAGAGTCGTCTCCATGAACAGAACCAGTGGAAAAGGCAAAACTATGAGAGTCTTGTACTTCCAAATGCTCAGGCCTCTGCGGAATCTCCTCGAATCCTCGTAGACTTGTCCCATTGCAGGGTTCGGTGGCCTAGAAAGTTAAGGCGTAATGCCATCTGCTTTATTGTTCATAAGTAAAAAAATATGTACATTAATATCTACTTAAGCAAATTTGTAGATTGTTGTAGAATTTTATATATATGAATATTTAAAAAATTGTGTAGTATTTGGTGCCCTTGTTGGATTAAAAACATTTCCTGGCAGTTTTTTCAGGCCTAAAATATATTCGTGGCTCTGTTGTCAGACTAAAAAATAATCATAGCGTTGTGATCCTTAAAGGGTAACATAATAAAATGTTTACCCATTTTTGATGCAATGTATACAAATATAAACCAAATAAATATTTAACAAGATATTTTCTTTATTTTATTTTCCATTATATTTGCAACTGCATGTAATGCATCGAACAAATGTGTTCCAATTTATTCTATCCTCATTTTTTTTTTCATGAAATTTATATACATTCTGAGAAGAGCTTTAGCCCTTTTTAGCAGAGACGAGTTCCATTATAACAGTATCTGTGAAACATTTTAAGGAAATAAGTTCTTAAAAAAGTTCTGAGGAACTTGTTTGTAATAAAGTTCCAGATATATAGCAAAAATATAATTTGTATTTATTTACGTTCCGAAAAAAGGTCCTGTTAAATGAAAAATAAGCAGTGATTAGATTAAAGATATAATTTGTTTTCAATCAATTGCACATGATTCTATTTGTTTGAGTAGCTAAGAATAAAAGTCATTTTTTAGATTGAATTTTTAGTGAAGACAACAGAACTTTTAAATAAAAGTATTTGAAAAATAAAAGTTCTGTTAAACCTAGCGACTTCCAGAAGAACTGAAAAACTAACAACAGTAAAAATTCAAGGAAGCATAAAAAAAATAACAGTTTTTTTTCCCGTTTCAAGTCCTACTTTTTAGTCTTCATTGAGGCTCATCAGGTAACAGGGAGAAAGAAAGAGACAGCAATAGTGAATTTTGGATGATTGAGAGTTGAAGAGTGGAATGTTGTGTATTTGTTACGTATGTAGAATTTTACTGTATGTATGTTCATGTCATGGATGGTGTGATTAAAAATAAACCACTGAGCATTAATAACTTATAGAAGTATTTTGGATTATGGTATTTTAATTTTGTTTATGTGTGAATGTGTTTTGCAGAACCCCAAAGTTGGGAGAGGGTAGAAATAATTTACTTTGCTGGCCTGTTTTCAATCTATAATAAAAGTCAGCTTCATATATGAGTAGTTCAAGTGATATATTTTGAAATAAAATTCATCAGTTCGTAACATGAACTACTTTTTTACATGAATTAAGACCAAAAATCCAAAATAAACAAATGATAAATCAGCCATAAAAAATTTTATTACTGACTCATTTAGGAAAAATTGGAGTATGTGCCCGAATACTGATGACAAAGACATCTTGACGTTCCAACAACTTCAAACACACTACTCCCATCTGAACTCAATATTGAAGAATTTGGAAAGGCATGAATATGAATTCTGTAATTGCTAGTGTAACTGTAGGCTGCATTGGTAATTATTACAGGAAAATTGCTACCTTACTCTGTTTGCCATCCTCCATGGGAACAATTTAATATCCAAATCCTTCAATCGAATTATTTTAAAAATGGTCTAGGTAAAATATTAACAGCAAGATACTGAGAGCCATGTTATAATAACACGTAAGTACGAATACTAAAAAAAAATTAACTAATGTTTTAAGTGAAACTATTAGTTTGTATTTCTAAATAAGCTCCAGACTAAAAATTCTGAAAGGTGAAAATTTAAAATTCATATTTTACAATAAAATAGTTCTTACAGGCTTTTGCAGTGTGGCTGTCAATATATTTAATTTGATGAGGTAATAATTATTAAAGCTATGTTTTCATATTTATTTATAAGAGTATTAAAATATTTTTATTACAAACAATTTACTGAAACGTGGCTATGCTCTGATATACTATTATTTTACATTGTTCCTAGAATAATATAGGAGCAATGGTATATTTTATAACCTATATTTTATTTTCAGGAATGTAAAAAAAATAGAATTGCTGTCAGGCCTTTTATTTTATTATTATACACTTATATTAAGTTAATAAATTGTAATGGCAACCTTAAATAAAACTTGCCCATTCTTGAGTAACATGTTATTTTAATTCATGACCTAAGACGAAATATATATGCATATATATATTTCATCTTGGGTCACGAATTAAAATAACAAGTTACTCAAAATGGGCAAGTTTTATTTCTGGAACTTTAAATTTTATTTAAGGTTGCCATTACAATTTATTAACTTGTATATATATATATATATATATATATATATATATATATATATATATATACCTAGTCCTGTTATAAATATTGTTACAAGGAAATATATACAGATTTCAACAAAAAAATTAATTTTTTCAAAAACTTTTTGAATTAGAAAATAAAATGTATATCTATAGAGAGTAAAACGAAAAAGAAATTGCTCAAAATGTTCCCCTTTTGCCTTGACACAGGTATTTAATCTCCGTGGCCAGTCATCAATAGCAAGGAAGCATTTCTAGGACCAGAGATTGTTTGAGATTTTCCAAGTTAGGGTGTGCTCCGTGGCATGCCATCCTCTCCAGTTCGAACCAAAGCAGATAATCTAGTGGGTTGAGATCAGGGCTTCCTGAGGGCCAATTCGAGGCAGCGATGAACTCTGGAGTGTTCTTTTGCCGCCACTGCTGAGTCAACCTGGCCTTGTGAGCTGGATCGGAATCCTGCTATCTATTTATAGTGCGGTACATGAACATGCGGCTGATACCCAAAGGTTTCAAAGTATTGAAAATCTCTGACCAAAGTTTTCCAACTTTGTGTAAAGCGATCACAGCTATTCGGTTTTCTTTATCACCCCACTCCATGTTAACTGAGCGAAAGAAAAATAAACACTAATTGGGATCATTATCCTGACATGTAAAGAAAATAACCTGATAGAGGTAAGGATTATCTAAATAATAACCAAGTATGTAAACAAAGTTCAACTTTTTTAACAGTATTTATACACACACACACACTCACACACATATATATATATATATATATATTTTTTTTTTTTTTTAATGTAAGTTAGGTATAGAAATTGGTACTGTTAGTGGAAAAGGTTGTATGTAAACACTTAGTGTTTTTCAGGAGACCATAACAATTAATTATTTCTTTATGATTCATTAGTATAATTTCATATTTTATTTCCCTCTGCTAGGTCATTATTAAGGCTGTGATAAAATAAAATTGTCACTCGATTCATAAAATCCAAATAAAAGTTTTTCAAGATATAATCTGAAATTTGATTGATTTAAATTTTACTTCTGTTATAAATAAATATAAAATTTATGTTTATATATTTGATGTATTCATTTTTAGAATATCTATTCACCATATTGACAATTTAGACCTTGAAATAATGAAATTAAATGTTACTACTGCAGCACTCCTGGCATACACTAGCGACACCCAGTTTGAGAAATACTGTTATACTCAGACCTAATGGCCGAGCACATTGATGCTAGAGTCCCAAAGTGCTCAATTCATAACATCGTGGGTTTGATTCTCACCTGGGTCAGTAAATATTTGACACTCCCATTCTAGTTATTCCATAGTAGCTACCTTTATTTATTAACAAAATGGTCCATTTGCTGTACTTGTTTCTATATCCACACCGGTAGGTCCATTATAAATTAAATTACTGTTTTATTCTGTTTAAATTTAATAACATTCCATAGTTTACAAATAAATAATTTTTATTTAGACTTTCAGATTTAGGCAGCAATAGTGTATTAATAATTGTGATGCAGGTATTCCACTGCTATCATAAAAACAAAATCTTTATTTATGATGAGTTTCTTTTATAATATTATTTTAGGGAAATTTATTAATGGTATGATCAAGGATTATTATATGGCACAAATTACTGCATGTGTTCGCATGACCTACACCGTATGGTATTGTAATTCATTTTATTCCAGGTCTTCTTAATTGACCCTGAATCAAACTGCTCTAGAGAATATATGATGTTCTTAATAACACACCATTCCTCAGCCCCCATATATGCTCATAGAATATTTAATTTGTGTTCCCAAATTAGTTTAATAACCACTTCTAGCTACAGGTATTAATTAAAGGTAATTTTTTTACCTCCAGTTTTCTTAAATTACAAAGCTCTCATTGATTCTATCTTGTTTTCACTTAGTCATGGTGTCATGGATACAAATTGTTTTATTAAAGTTACATCAAATGTTTATGTTTCTTTGATATTCAATTTTAATTATGAATGACTTAATTGATTTTTATATGCTCAATATTTTTTTTAAAGTATGGTCATAATTGGTTCATTCATGGAATGTAGCAAATCCATCTTTTAAATTTGTGAATTCAAATGAATTCTTTCAAGTTAAAACTAATGAGTTTATATAACTTGTTAAATATTTTGTGTCTTTTTTTAAAATTTTAATAAAAAATTATTATTCCTTTAAGAGTCTCATACCATTGATTTTGAAACTTAAGTGGACTATCAGAGCATCTCACCAAATTATTGGATTAAAATCACAACATTTGTTGTTGATTTCCTATAACATATACAAACATTAAAAATTATTGTATGAAATTGTTAATTTATTGATTGTATTTCTGATGTTTTGAATATTTTAGAAAAATGGTGGCGCTATGCATTGAAAGTTACTTAATATTACAACAACAAAAAACTGTGAGATAGTTGAAAGATAATTTCTTAAAAAAACTTTTCAAATATTAAAGTTTTAGATCTTTATTAGTGCTAAGATAACAAATAAATACTGATAAAATAGTAGACAGTAATAATAATAACATCTAGATAAAGTAGTATAGTAAAATAATATGTGAGTATTTAAACTTAACATTAATAAATATGTGAAATTGAAAATACATGATTTATATTTATAGAAACTTATTTATATTTTTATAGAAAGTTATGAAGTAATTGTAATAAAGCTGGGGCTTATAAA